CAGCAAGACAGAAGGATGAAACACGTCCAGCATGTTCCCAGCACACACAGCCCCTGTCCCCATCCCTGTCCCCTGCCAACTCCATTTGCCTCAGCTAGGACGGGTGCCTGAAACCCACTTTTCCAGTCCTGTCCTTCCCCCAATGAGGGGGGAATTGCCTCTTCCTCACTGAGGCTGCAGGTGAGAGCTGGTCTGCCAGATACTGCAAAGGTCCCAAAGGAGCAGCAGCATCCCTCCCTGCTGAGGAACCAGCACAGATCACTCCTTATCCCCATCTTAGACACCACCTTTCCAGCATCAGTGCTGGCCCATAAGGTCTGGGACAAGCACACTACCCGTGAGCTACAGAAGCAACGTGAACCGGCAGCTCAATGAAACCAGCCAGCAAACCACTCCACCCCAAAACGATCCCACCTGGCTGGAAACCATCTCTGGAGACCTGACCACGTCACAGCAATCACAGCTTCTAATTCATGAGCCTGCAAAGTTTCCCTTCCCCATTGCCCACCCAGCAGGGCTGGAAGGGGGACAGTCAATGGCCCAGCATGCCCACTGGTGACACTTTGCAAAATACCTGGTTGAGCAACGATGGAGGCAAACGCAAAACGGAGCCAAAGGAAAGATGCTCTCCACGAGTTCAGAAATGCCTTCCCTTCCCACACCCAGATTCTTGCTATTCAGCATGGGGGGCCAACCACAGAACCTAAAAAAAAATGGGGTTCCCAGAGTCCTTCTGCACCCCAGCCAGGCAAGCTGGGGAGCTCACCGTGGGCACACATCCCATCTCAACCCATCCAGGGGGATGGATTTAGCTCACTGCTGACCAGGACCCTTGCACCAAGCATAAGGGGGTCTACAAGAAAGTTGAGGATGCTATTCAGCATGGGGGGCCAACCACAGAACCTAAAAAAAAATGGGGTTCCCAGAGTCCTTCTGCACCCCAGCCAGGCAAGCTGGGGAGCTCACCGTGGGCACACATCCCATCTCAACCCATCCAGGGGGATGGATTTAGCTCACTGCTGACCAGGACCCTTGCACCAAGCATAAGGGGGTCTACAAGAAAGTTGAGGAGGGACTTTTTATAAGGGCAGTTAATGATAGAACAAGGGGAAATGGTTTGAAACTGAAAGAGAGGAGATTTAGATTAGATATTAGGAAGAAATTCTTCACTGTGAGGGTGGTGAGACACTGGACCAGGTTGCCCTGAGAAGCTGTGGCTGCTCCTCCTTGGAAGTGTTGAAGGCCAGGTTGGATGAGGCTTTGAGCAACCTGGTCTAGTGGAAGGTGTCCCTGCTGATGGCAGGGGGGTTGGAACTGGATGAGCTTTAAGGTCCCTTCCAACCCAAACCATTCCATGATTCTATGATTTCTCCCCTATGACCTACTCTAAAACTTTCTCCCCTATGACCTGCTCTAAAACGCAGACAGCGGTTTGCACGCAGCCCTCCCGGGCAGTTACCAGCCAGACCTCTACATGAAGCCCTGAAATGCCCCCCTCGTCTCAGTTGGTATTTTGCTTTATCTGTTTGCTCTCCCTCTCCCCAATTGCCATAGCAATCTGCCAGCCAGCACAAAGCTCCTTCTGTGCCGCTGGCTCTCCTGGCAGCGCGGTGACTCA